CCTCCTCGACCGCGGGGCCGTGATCCTGGAAAGCTGCCATCACTGGGCGTTTCACGCCAAGCGCATCGAGCGCACGAACGTAAGGCAGGTTCTCCGGGTCGCGGACGTCGGGGAAGTGGATGCTCCCCGCGTGCGCCGGAGGAAGGGGCGAAGAGCAGGGAGGAGAAACGGAGCAGAGAAGGAAGAGGAGTTGTGCAAGCCCAAGACGCATCAACGATGTTGCAGAAACCCTTCCTTCAAGTTCCCTCTTCACAGGTCCCTACAAAATACGCCGACCCTTCGGTGTGTGTGTGTGAGAGACGCTGTCGTCGTCTTCGTCGTCGCCAGTCCCAAGGAAATCTAGAAACGAGCAAAAAAATAAACTTCGTAATTAAGTCGATACCCCCCCCCGTTCCCCTCCCTGAAAGCTCCAGAGAATAAAACATGTCATGTATGCAAGAACGCTTTTACTGCTTATTACAAAATATCACGCGACACGCACAACCAGCCCTACCGACACGCCCAGGGGTGCGACGCGGAGGAATTACATATGAGGCAGGGGGATGGAGGAGAAGGAGGAGCAGGAGGAGGAGGAGAAGCAAAAGGGGAAGGGAAGAGAGAAAAGAAGGAAAGCGGAGGAAGGACGGAAAACGACAAAGGGAGGAGGGAGGAGGGAGGAGGAAGGAAGCGCAGGCGAAGGCGGAGGAAGGAGGCGGAGTAAGAGGAGGAGAATGAGGAGAGAACTATTTGAACTATTTGACTAAGCACTGGTCGTGCGCAAGGAAACATAAGGGCTAGCCGAGGCCTCGCTGCGCCAACACAGCCTTGAGCTGAGCGGGTACACCCTCTCGCCTCGGATACAAGCCCTTGTCGATACGTGCGAGGTTCTCCCGACCTTCTCGGGTGATGGGCTCGCACTGAGCCTCGACATGCCGGCCGAGCAGGGTAGCGTATCTGCCACAAGTCACGCACAACGCGAGACAAAACTTATCCCGAATCTGCAGCCTGCGGGACTGGTGGACATACTTAACAGCAGCCACCATGCTCTTACCCCCTGGGCCAACATCACCAGACGGGAGGAGGCTGTGGCATGGGGACGCCGCCACCTCTACAATTCTAGACGGAGGGACGAAAACTTTGCACGAAACGCACCTGAAATGACTGCCACACTGAACAAACTGATGATCGGGGGTAGCAGTTGCACGAGAGCGGGCGGCGGGGGCGGGTCTCCTCTCCTGGGCCGGCCTCTCGCCGCCCCAGGGGTCCGCTCCGATCGCCCACTCGAGTGCTCTGCGAGCCCTACCCTGCCGAGCGGACACGACGCGCGACGCCAGCCCCTCTCCCGCCGCCCGACCCGGCCCCCTCACCAGCCAAGGCGTTGCCCTGAATTAGAAACGGGTCAATATCATTCCCTGCCGCCTCCGTGTGCAACGGGATCCATTTGATCCCCGCCTCGTCAGGGGAGGGATCTCCTAGGCCGGCCCTGCTGCGACTCCACAAGTCCTGATTCGAGCCATCCTTGGATCGAATTTTGCCAGACAACCACGCCCGCCACAAAGGCTGATGATCTGTGGCGAACACCACAGGCGCCTGCACAGACTCCAGAGCGACCGCAAATGACGTGAGCTCTGCCCTCGGCACCGTTTGCCTTCTACCTCCGAGGACCGATCGAGCACCTGCAGCTACCCCCCATCCCCCTTCTGAACCGCTCTTGAGCGCAACGACAGCAAAACCACACCGCCGCCTGCGCACATCAGAGCTGCACTTACCTCCAGGGCCGTCGCCGAACAAAACAACACGCTCAAAAACGGGATGAGGTTCGAGAGCCCCGAAGGAGTCAGGGCCATAGAACACCACACCTGGGACACACACGAGAGACTTGGCAGCCGCTGCCAGCCATCCTGACCCGCGGCCAGTGCACCGCAGAAACCACTGCACGATGCAGGCCTAACTGTTCAAACTCCTGGTTGATGCCCACTCTCTTGGCTTCCAACCGAGCACAAAACAGATCACCCCCACCCTGCGCCAAGCCCCCCCCCCCCTCGAAGTGCTCAGAAGCCTGGCGCCATAACTTCATACGTATATGGCCCACGAGCTCACCGAATAGCTCTGCGAAGTCTGCGTCGTGAGCATCGAAACCTGGATCAGAAGCCATGGGTAAATGCCATGTCTCCTCGCCTTGACCGGCTGGTCTGGACCGCGCCTGCGCCGAGCGAGGGGGCCAACCTGCATCGTGCAACACTACAACAACTGCACTGGCTGGCCCCTTCACTCGCGCCCACCTGGTCCTGGCCTCGAGCAGACGGGGACGGGGCAGCGACCGCGCGGACACGAGGGCGAAGGGGCGGGGTCGATCGCCACACCATCAGCCACTCGAAGGCCAGTTGCCGCCGAATCCCAAGGGCGGGCTCCTTCCTACCCATATGCAACGCCAAAATAAAGGCGAGACGCCTCCCGGCCCCTTTGCCCGCAATCGCCCGCGCAGCTTGACGACGGAGTTTTACAATCACGGAGAGGGGGGAGCCGCTGCACTGATGGCCGTAGGAGGCCTGGGGAAGGGCACCTGTATTCACAGGTTCCGAGATCCGGCTGAGCTTGGCAGATCTCATCAGCTTGCGAATTCTGCCAAACCTCTGCGCTGCCTTACTTAAACGATCCTGGCGCGCCTGGCCTTGAGTCGCATCGACCCCAAGGTCAACGGCAGCTCTGACCGCTCGGCAAGGCACCTCAAGACCAAGAAGAAAATACCTAGCTCCTTAACTACGCCTCTGGACGCACACAACAAAATGGTTCCATCAGAAATCGCAAGCCTGTACTCGCGAAGCCCATGGACCAAGGCCTCGGAAACCTCGGCAAAAGATGGTTTGACAAAACTCGGGTGTCCCTCACATCTGGCAACTGCGTCGTCTACAAAGAACCACAGCTGCAAGCTGCCCCCAGCTCTGACATTATGAGCTCCCTGAAAGATGGGAAACAGAAACATATTGGCGACTGGAACTCCGAGATGGGATCCAGCCACTATCGACCGAGTCGGCCAGATTGGTTCGCTCACTCCACCAGCGCCTGTGAGCAGCGAGGGGCTAGATAAATCTGCTTCTCCGATGATATCGCGATCGTGGGAAAACCAAGCTGCTCCGCAATCTGAAGGAGCATCGCCAGACTCAGGGAATCACAAAAGGTTTCGATGTCTAACAAAAAGGCGGCAACCTGGGCGCCCAGGAGAAGAGCCGCTTCGCCAAGAAGACATCAAAAGCGCCGCCCGCAACGACGAGCTCCCACGGACGGCCGCGTCACAGAAGGACCCCAGGGAATCTGACCAAGAAGAAACAAAACCAGATCTGAACTTGCCCCACGTCTTCACTACATTAGAAATGAAACCCACGGTGCGATCACTTCCTTTCGGCTTAGGAAGCAACGCACTCAAAGTCACGTACAGTTGCTCTGACCCAATCCCGAGGCTCTTGATCTGATTGTACATGTGGTAAGATCTTGAATTCCAGTTGGCGGCAGCCTCTTGATGTCCTCAACAGTGACAACGTCAACCCCAGAAGGCTCTCTGACGGACCGAAGACGACAGGAGAGACGACACCCCCTCGGGCGAAAGAGGGGGGCGGGGGCCCTCAGAGGCTCTCCGCGGGGCTGTCAACCGCCGCCTGCAGGTCTGGAACCGAGTCGACAGGGTCAGCCCAGGCCCCCTGCCGCAAGCTACGCTCAGTTGGCCGAATTGAAATGGGATGTGGCAGAATCTTTCCCGAGGCAACCATCCCAGGAGGGGCCCGAGGGGCAGCCTCCACGCGGGCGCGGATTCGGCCTGTATGTCAAAACCCTCGCGGCCCTCGGCCATGGCCTTGCAAGCGGCTCTACCAGAATGCGCGCGCCGCCCGAGTTCAGGCAAACCAAAATCGGGAACCAAATCGACAGTTGCCAGCAACCCCAAGAGACCACGCATCTCCGACTCCAGAGCTCCTAGCACCGAGGAGTCGGGGCCCAACGCCCCAGAAGAAACCCTGGAAAGAAGTTGCGGACACTGGCGCTGATGATCAGCATCGCTGCCGTTTCCTTTTAAACTGGAATAGGGAAAGAGAAGCGCGGCAGGGTTTCCCCACCACTCAGCAGCACCAATTTTCATATGCACTCGATCAGGACTGGGTCTCGCCTTCACCCAAACCAGCGTCGCCCCCTGTGGCGCGGCCAACATATGGGCCGCGATCGGGCTCAGGGACCTCCGAGGGATAACTTGTTCCACCGCAGAAACCCATCTTCCGAACAAATTGTTGACGACGCTCGTTTCTTTGTCGCGCGCGCCGTGCAAGAAGTGCCTCTGCTCCGCGACGCACAAGCGGGAACTCTCGCTCATCGCCTTATCCCGCTGCGATTCTGAAATGTGAAACATCGCAGCCGTTGGAAACGTCCACGACGCTGGATACGCAGCAACCCCTTCCGCAGAGACGTCTTCGAAGCAGGATCAGGCAATCGCTTCGGCCGAGGCGCGCGGGGAAGAGCTCCAGGCACCCGAACCTTCTGATACCAAACATCCTCACCAACCATCTTGACAGTCAGTCGCAAGCCGCAGTCCGTCTTCCACGGCGCACGCAGCTCAGGGCCCAAACTCAAGGAAGGACGAGGGAGGATGGAGGTCGGTCGGCGAAGCGCGATGGATCGCTTGGAGGGCGGAAAAGGCGGCGACGGAGAAGGTGGAAGGGGGGCAGGGGCAGGGGGGGGGGAGAAGGAAACGGGACGAGGAGGAGGAGGAGGAGGAGGAAGAAGAGGACCCGAAAATGAATAAGAAAGAACGGGAAGGTGGGGAATGGAAGGAAAAGGGCGGGGGATTCAAAAGAAGAAGACAAGGGATAACAAGTAGGAGAGAAGAAGGCACCTGTGCTTCTTCTCCAACAAACTCAACGCGTCATAACTACTATTGCTATACGTTGCGGGCCTCAGCGTTCGTCGCCCGATCTCGTCTCATTTGGAGCGCCCGCGCTCCCAGGACACAGGGAAGACACAGGAATCGGCGGGAGCTCCTGAGGGCGGTGGAACGGTGGCCAGCGCGTCGCAAACTCTTCGTCGCGCGCGGTCGAGAGCGGCGCCCACGCTGTCTTCGGATCGGCCGCTGCTATATATGTCCCGCGCCCGGCGAACCACG